ATCTGTATTAGCTGGAGTTTCCCAACCACTCGTGCATAACATGGTAGTCATGCAAGCCAGAGGGTGATGGATGTGCAGCTCCCCAGGAGGGGCCAAGGTTTCAAGGATGTCAGTCCCACAGCACTAGTCTGTGAGGGAACATCAGGGTTAAAGACAAGAATATTTAATATTTAACTGCAGCATGGCTCTGTGTCCAGACCAGCAGTGTGGCTAAGCAGGTCTGCTTTGGAGGCACCCTGTCCACCACTGTCCCAGCTCTGATATGGTTCAGTAGGCAGTCTTCTGGCTCCCACTCCCTCCATCACTTCACTCATGGCTGAACCTTAAGGCAGTTCAAGGAGCCCTGGCTTGCTTTCAAAGAGTGAAAACTAAACACTGATGTTGCTTTTGCACTTCTAATATTTCTTCAGTTTGATGTGTTTGTGTTGTGTTTTGGAGTGTCCAATGGAGCAGCAGTTCTGATCTGTGGATAGTCCTGTATTTCAGAGGTGGGTTTGTTTGGCTTTTTAAATTTTCTTTACTTAATTTTTAAAAATTGTCACATCCACAAAAGTAAAAAGGCCCAACAATTGTAAAGCAGCTCCATTCCTGAGTGAAATGAGCCAATTGCTGAATGCAGATCTCAGTGACCTGAGGTTGGATGTTACACTAGGTCCTTGGCGCAGCAGGAGAAGCACAGGATGGCCATTGAGGGGCTAGAAGAGTTTACTGGCCTAACCATTGGCACAAAGTTATTGAAGATGCATTAACATAGATGTGAAAAGCTGAAAAAGGAAGCTTCATTTTTCAGTGCAAGTCAGCAACAAGGAAACTCCTAGTGATTATATGTTCACTCTGACAAATAATGTAAGTTTGGATTTCAGGAAGCACCTCCGGACTTCAGAAAGACTGCAGCTCAGTAAGTGACAAGTTCACCTTGTGGGGGAAAACTTTTCACAGAGTTCATGGAAAAATGGAAAACGGAAAAATATTTTTATTATAAAATGTTTCCTTGTTAACTTGCATTACGAATTAACAGTAAGGTCATGAATATTAAGTTTGTAATACCTTTTTGAGAAAATTTCTTGAAGAAGCTTCATATTGCCTTTAGAACAAGTAAAACCTCACAGTGTTTTAGAACAGAAAGAATTAAATTGGTAAATTAGTCATCAAAGAACCTTCTGTGTTTTGAGTAGTGAGTACTTGTGTGAGTGATGTTTTTCATGTGATCTTCTTGTGGCAATCAATAATAATGAGAGAGATGGTACATGTTGCCACTCCAAGGCATTTTTTTCCTCAGGAAAATATTAAAACTTTACTATTTGGGTGCTGCAGGTGCGAAATGTACTGAAAACCACTTGTAAAGATTTTAATGGACTTATCCTCTCTTATAGTGCTGTTTGATTAAGACAAACACATTGCTGCATTATAAAAAGGACAGAGACTTTTTAATGCTCGTTCAGATTTTAATGTTATTAAATGAAAAGTGTCTGCCTAGCTTTCACACTTGCTAGTAAGGCAGAATATTAAAATCACAGTATTCTCCTCTGCCAAAAGCACATCAAAATGCAACTCGACTCCATGGCAATGTTATGTAACATAAATAATGTCCTTAGTGTTTAAAGCTACTATTTAGCAATAAAGACATAACAGTTTTTGTGGTACAGAAAGAGCAAGAAATGGCTTCAACCAGTCCTGCTTCTTTAAAATGCAGACAACCAATATCCCTAAACTGTGAACTTTTCTTTCACAGAGAGAACTTGCACACTTTCTATTAGAATTAATAAGGGAAAGGTTTCATTCCAACAATTTAATGCTAGCACTGTCATAGTCTTTCATTATTCTGGGCTCGTGGACTGCTTTTGCAGAAAACAGCTTTAGAATATAGGTCAACATTAAAGGATTTAAAATAAGGCAAAAGTGCTCTTATTTCTCTTTTGAGTGCGTCCTTTATTTTAATACCTATAAGAGAAGTTCTCTCTTCTCCAAATCCTTTCTCCCTAGGAGGAATCAGCAGGGACATTGTGACTTATTTGAAAGTTAAGAGGCTGAAAAGCTTTAGAGGAGGCATTGTAATCTGTTATAAAACATGTACAGGACAGAGGCATAGATTTGGAGTTGTTGGTATCTCTCCAACACATAGGAGAGAAGCATGGCATGATTAGATTACTCATGAAGTGTTAGTCTTGCAGCAATGAGGAAATCTAAAAAATAAAATCCCAATCCTCATGTTTACACCAGATTAACTAGTACAAAGAGGCAAGCATCTCCTTTCATTGTTGCTTTGAGATGTATAATCTCTATCCTTTTGAATCTTCTGAAGTTCACATACAGAAAATGTAATTATTACAATACAAAACCTGTTTTAGTTGCAAAACACTCTTATTTCGTCCAAAAAGCAATGCTGCTAGCATTCTGTTTTTACAGAAACAGTATTGATCAAACCCAGAACAAGATGGTGACACAGGGAAAAAGATGATGAAGCAAGCTTGCAATGAGTCCCATCTTTTGTTTTTCCCAAGCTGCCAGGTCAGCATTTGTAACTGGCTATCTTAACTCGCATGGGGTGTACAAAGATAGGTGACTCTGCTTTTTTTACCTTGTCACTCAGTCTGAATATTAAGAACTGGGTCTACTTGGCTTCCAAGATTACAAATTTAGCGTTTTGAGCTAGTGAAGCTGAGGTTACTCAGTAAACATGCTAAGGTAGTTGACAGGGATCTCGAAAGCCCTAAAGCAACATGTTTGAGGACTCCCAGTGCTATGAGTCCACCAATGGTGATGGTGCTGTGAAACTGTTTTGTGGATCACATGGAGAAAGCTGCATTCACTGGGCAGAAGAGCATCCTTTCTGGTCAATAACTCTTGCTAAACCGCTTCCAATCCAGTCGTACATTTTTATCCATCATAATGATTGTGACTCTGCTATTGACTGAATTCTTGTACTCTCAGCACCTGTAGAAACTCAGTGGACAAAAGTGAATCAAATTCAGCAAGCAGAAAGTATAGTATTCTGATGCACTTTCCATGAGAGCAAGTGGTTCCTGCCCACAAAGAAGGCAGGTTCTCAAAATGCCAAAGAATTGCAGGTTTGAGAGAGAAATTTGCGTCCATTCAGATTCATCACTGTGCCAGCAGCCGAGCCCTGGGTCGGTGGGTCAGGTCTTGGGCAAGCATCTTAACAGGTTTCTTGGTGGCAGCATTATAGGAATTCAGAAATTCTGTACTTCACAGACAAACTAAGGCATTGCTTGTGCTCTGGACGCTTGTGTTTCATCAGATGTCCATCATCTGTGCACCATGTGTAAAGACATTTTCCATTAAAAAAAGTATTTTTGTTCTTGTCACATGTTAGTTATATTTGTAGAATGGTGACTATTGAAACCAGTCAACCTCCTGGGAACCATAGTTAGGCTTGGGATATTACTGTGCAAACAGATAGTAAAGGGCTAATATTCTTACATTATCTGTAAATACCTCTCCTGCATCTACTTGCTGACATGGGATACAGAAAAAATAGGCTTATCTTTCATTATGTGCTTTTTCTTCACTTGACTTAAGAAGAGCAGCTAATGTAACTTTAAGGGTTCACAGTTTGAATACGATAGGCGTCATTGATTTTTGTTTTTAATTTCCCACTGCTAGTGTTTGCTACTAAACACTTTCCAGTGGTGACAGAAAAGTGGACTATATCATAATGTTCTGCTTTTTGTGAAGTGGATGTTCCTTTTTTATCAGTATACTGAAACTTAAAACATCTGGGTTTGGACTGGAAACACTTAGTTGAAACCCCAGGTTCAGGATATTTGTTTCTTACCAAGTATCTCCTGAGATTCGGTGCTGAGTAAGAACTACATTGCTAATCTGTCAATATGTGAGGTTTTATTTGCTTACGAAATTATGTGTGTTAAACAAAAATTGTGCATTGTCGCTTGCCTTGCACATTATAAAGAAAACTGCAGAGTCCCTGAAGGAGAATCTAAAGGTTACAGGGAGACTGTAATTTTATTTTGTTTTTCACATGTAGCCTCAGCTTTAAAAAGTGGAGTTAAATCATCTGAATATGTTCAGGTCTGGAAGTGCTGAGAGTTCAGCACTCCTGATAGTAACATCATTTCTTTAGGAGTTCCTATATTGACACTGGATACTAACATTAGCATTTTGTTCTCTAAAATCTTGGTGCTAAGAATAAGTCAGCTTTAATTTATAGGTAGAACCCTAGAATCCCCCTCTCCAGTGACACCCTCAGAAGGAGACGTAAAGGTCCACTGTGGGTTGCCCTGCAGTCACCTGTGGTTGTTGTTGCCTGGGAATATGGCACAGATTCTCTCCACACTCTGCTGAAGTAACAGGTGAAGCAAGTTGTCACATGCCACATTGAAAAGAATACAGAGCTTGCCAGTATCTCATGGCTTTATAAAAGTATCAGAACTCTGGGGAGAAATCCATCAGGATGAATTATTGACATCAGTGATGCTTCCAGTTGAAAGCGAGAAACCAAGGTGCAGTTGTACCATTCTTTGCTCATTCTGCTTTGAGGTCCTCTGATTAGGCTTTTTCTACTCTACAGATTTCCCCAAATAAAAGCAGTGATGTATTTTTATGTAAATGTTATTTTTTTTGTGGTGCATTAATGGGCTGGTTTTCTTACAGTATCTGTAAATCTGTGTGAATATAGGCTATTTTTAAAACCTTCCTGTGCTGTTCAAAGTCTTGTTTGTATTTTTCAAGAGGCTGTAGTGTTGGCATTATAATGTAAAAGGGGAGACCACCTCTTCTGGTAGAACCAAAACCAAATAAAACTTTAGATAATGTGAAGAAGATATTTACTTATGAATTACATTGGGGGGGGGGTGTTGCCTCAATATACCAAATACTTGTAAACTACAAACAAGAAAGAAGTATTCAGAAATTAATATGTTTATACTGTGAGGTCTAAAAGATCCTCTTTCTTTTTTTTTTTTTTTTACATTTATTTTTGTAGAATCATTCTAAATATGTAGGTTATTTTTCTGTTTTAGGCTCCTAAGGACCCAGTCTCTGGATTGGTACTATAATAATGTCAAAAGCCGCTTTAAGTGTTTTGGAAGTGCCAAAGTCCTGAAGAACCTGTACAAGAAGCATAGACTGGAGAGCGGAGTTTGTCCTGATACAATAGGTAAGAACAGCTGTGTTGATTTCTTACAAGATTTATTCTAATCTACTTTAACATACAAGTTGAGACAAAGGAAATTCTGAGATCATTTCAACAGAGATTTTTTTAAGGCAATTTTTTTTTCTTTGCAAAAGAAATGCCTCAGTGGAGAAAAAAAATAGGGGAAGTGTCTAGAGAGCTGTTTAAGAAATCAAAGAATGTTTTATCTTAATTATGTCACTGATACAGAACTGTCTGTAAAGTAAATTGCAGTTTGTATTCTAGCTTGTGTCCCAAAATTTTTCACAGTCCTGGGTAGTCAATGAATGAGAAAATAATTTTGCACACAACATTTGATCTTAGAGCATATTTCTGTGGTGCTTGAAACAAAATTTTATTAACATGGGATCCATTCAGTATCCAAGTTGACCAAAACTTAGATTCCCTCACTTAGAGTTTTTCATGCTTAAGGATCTGAAACTGGCCACACCTTTTTTTTTTAATTCATGTTTGTAAATAGTTAAAAGCTACTGATAAAGTATTGGCATCATCCTTTTAAATGAAGACACAATTCTCCCTTAACTATGGTGTTCTAATGCCTCACCCCATAAGAAGAGTAATTGGAGATATAAAATGGGTTGGAAGAAGTGGAGTTTGGTGTCATACTGGTAACTTCAGCAAATTACTCGAAACACAGCTAGCTGAATATTTGACATTTCATTGGGTTTATTGGATCAGATACTTCACTAATGTAATTCTTTTAACATCTGTACAAAAACTGGTAATTTTTCTATAGTCTTTGCTTTTTTCTGAAATTATTGAGGATGGTAAGTAGACTCTTTATACCTGAGTGGAAATTTCAGGTATTTCATATGAAAATTGACATAAAATCTTCTAGGAAGAAGTGGCCTATGCATTAAATTATGATTTATTAGTCTTTTTTCTCTGTCGGTATCAAATCCATTTTTCCTGAGAAGTTTCCTTAACAATGGAGAACAAATACTTATGAAGACAAACAAATCTGTATCCCTGAGGGAAGAAGTGGGATAATGGAAGCAAAAACTGTGGCGACGGATGCTTCAGAACTTTCGTATGATGTGTTGCCATTCCTTAAGCCATAGTTTCACTTGTTCCTTGAAGGGAAGTGTGAACGGTGCAATGATAAGTTGCAGTGGCACGTGCACTCTCTGTGAGACCTTTCTAAGGAAGGCCTTTGAGTCTAAATGTCATTGCTAACTTTCTGCTACTCTCTGTGTGAATGTAAGGTAAACCTTTTGTTCTCTTTGAAGATAAATACTAGTATAAGTGTCTTATTTATACAGCATTGCCCTTTAAAATGTAGAATCTATTTCAACTCCAAATGTCATAGTGAAGGCAAATTCCCTGTACTTAACTTCCACCATGTGAGTTTTATGCCTGCTAACCTCTTCTTTTCTCTTTTACTGTAGTAATAGTTTTTAGCTTCTTCCTCTCTCTTTTACTGTAGTAAGTTTTCTCAATCCAAAATGAATGAGAGGTCTTTGATATAAAAGCAATCATGTTTTGTACAAAAGCTGCTGCAGTCGTGATTTATACAACAGCTAGGAGGAATTTTCCATTTATGCCTCGTTGTTTGCGCTGCCACCATATCCTGAGTGAATATTCTAATCTAATAATGCCTCTGCTGTTAATGGGTACATCTAATACTGAAGCAAAATTCTGTCTTTCTTTTTAGCTGAAGGGAGTTTGTTTGAAGGAAGCATTGAGAATGATGGAAGCATTTGTGGCAGTGACTCTACATTCTACCAACAGACAGAAGGTATGCTGCTAAAAACTTGTTTGATTAAACACAGACCTTACACTTTGAATTACCGGACAAGTAGCTTAGAGCACTGGTAAGTCTTGTTCACAGATCCAAAAATACTTTGGCTAAAACATTCAGCAAGATACTAAAAGTCTTTTACCTACCATGCTGGGATATTTTGCTTCAGTATTTACGCTAATACACACCTGTTCTAGTGTGATTTTCTTAATGTTCATTTTTTGTTACTTCTCTTCCATCAGCAACATAAAAAATACTGTGTTTTCCTGTGTTTAAGATTTACATTTAGGAAGAAACATGGAGATTGAGACAAATTTATTTGTCTTAAGTTGTTTATTTTACTGTGCATAAATACAGATTGAGGAAATGAACTTTTTCATGAACAATTTAAGATTTTAATATGTGTCCAGAATATGTCTGAGTTTTGGAGCTTGTTATGCAAAATGTGCATATATAAAGAACATGATGGTTTTATCTTATTCTTCATCTAGGACACAGCATGATGGATACCCTTGCTGTGGCTTTACGTGTTGCAGAGGAAGCAGTGGAAGAAGCTATTTCTAAGGCAGAGACCTACAGTGACAGCCTGGTAACACTTTCAAACAAAATGTATTAATTTAAATAGGACACTTATGTTTCTTTTGATTTGGGTAGTGGACAAAACCAAGTAGATACGAAAGAAAACATAAAGAAGTAGTGGCTATCTCATGCTACACCTAAAGATTTGGGCATGGGTTTTATGTACTGGTATCCAAGATGCATGTTGCATTTCAGAAGGTGACATGCAATTTAAGTGCCTGGAATTTTTTCCCACAGTGCCAGTAGGGCGTATTACCCATTTCCCAATCTATACAACTTCTGTGGAAAGGCTGGTTTTATGTGATTTTAGCAAATACAGATATCCATTTTCATGCAGGACAAGCAGAATGAAGCGTGTTACTTGCAGGAGCACAAGGAGGACCTCATAGAAGAGCTGGCCACAACCATTGTGCAGAAGGTATGGGATGCTTTTTTTCCTTAGCTTGTTTAATAGCCAAAACACAATGCTTTAGTCTGATGAGCTCAAACTCCACTAACAGCAAAAAGGATGATACCAATATAGAAAGTAAAGTAAATGACAAGTTGGAACTTCAACTATGACGGTATAGGCTTAGCTACATCTGACAGAGAGATCAATTTATAAATAAGATTAATCCAGTGCCTAATCTGATGCCCTACACCCTCAGAGTTGAGAGGTACCACTCCCTGAGGTCTGTGATATCCTATCTTGGCCCCTGCTCAATGGAATTTTACATCTGTACTTCACTTCCCCAAAGGCACAAAGTTTTCCAGTGGCAAGAGGTGTGGCTCTTGATCATACCCTCTACTGAACCCTGCATCTGCAACACATTCAAAGAAAACATCAACCATTAAAATAGAATTCTGCTAATGATGCTTCTAGATACACACACACAAAGTCACAGAACCCTCGGTGTGTCAGATTTCTGTGGCTTTTTACATAAAACTCGTTCTTCTCCCTGAAAAGCTCACTGATGCAGAATGGAAGTGGAGGGCTGCAGATGCAGTTGGCACTGATGCAGAATGGCAGTTGAGTTTGTCTGGACAGTTTGGAGCAAGGCAAGATGAGCATGAACAGAGTGCTGTTGAGCTCCTGGAGTCAGTAAAGTAACCAGCTAGTTGCCACATCTGTGTATGGGCTGTGGCATTTAATAGTGTGCGTATGACACACCAGAAGAGAAACATGTTGTTTATAAGGCTATTAAAAAAAGCCAGAAGAGTAGCATTTTCTCAATGAAAAATAATCTGCCTTCTTTTTTAATAGGGATGTTAGAAGATTAATTCTACTTATTGAGTCTTTCATAGTCATGAGCCTGCCTCAGCCAAGCTTGAATTGCTACCACTTTTGTGAAGAGCTGCCTAATATGATCTTTTATGCCATATAATAATATTCTGTAGATATTTTATATTTGAGTCAAAGAAAGTTGTGAAAATTAAGCACAGTGGGATATAATCTGTCAGTGAAGGGAGACAGGTAGTCTCCATGCTCTCTCTCTCTTAAGATGGTGTAGATTTTCAAAAACAAAAATAGTGCCTAAACACCTAAGACCTCATTGTTTTCACTAGAAATGTGTCTAGATATCATGGGAGCATTTGAAATTCCCCTCATATGTAGTATTTTCTGTTTCTTGGCAAAAAGTCTTGTCTGAGAAAATACTTGACACTTAGATATGCTGCTGATATTTAAAGTGTTACTGTAGCAACAAGTTTCCATGTTTATTTAATTCACCTTCATTAATGTTCCTGCAGGCCTTGATTTTGATTTATTGTATCAATGCTTATGTGCTCGCAAGCAATGTGACTTCAGATGAGAAGAAGTGCATGCAAGTTGTCAGAATCATCCTTTGCATGAGCTGGAGCAAGAGCAAAGGGAAACTCATATGTTCTTCCTAGGCAGGTTGCCTTGACACAGGGTTAATGTAGTTTTTCTCCATACAGCTCAGACAGTACTTTCTGAGCATCTCTTTCCTCTCCCCTCCCACCCCTTGTTCTCCTACCTTACAGATTATAAAGAAGCAGAAAAGCAAAACTGAGCAGGCCGAGGCCGACTTTGAATGGCCGCCATCCCGGAGCAGTGGCCTGGCGTCTGTCGCTGTCTCAGATCAGAGCATGCTGACTTTTCCAGGGAGCCGCAGGGGGTCCTACACGTTATGGGTGAGTGGCACAGCACAACTATTGATGTTTTCCGATGCATAAAACCAGCAGATTGCGGTCATGCATAAGTATACTGCTTGCCTGGAATGGTACGTAGAGACTTGCAGAGAACAGGCATTAAACCTATGGCTGGACAACCTGTTGCCCAGTTGCATGTTTTCCTAGCATCCCATTGGCCCTGGAAGTACATCACAGACATTGTGCTGTGTTGGGGTGTAGTAAGTTTCAGATATGAGAAATCTCACTGCTCGATTTAAATGCTAATAGGACTCAATACCTCAGTGTTTATTTTTCTAAACAGTTTTTCTGCTCGCTTAGCTTTTATTTAGATTTTTACTGAGCGTTATATTTTCTTTCATATAACATTAGATTTCTGTAGTATTTCTTTTTCTCTTTAGCAATCTTAAAGAAAACAGCCACCACCCTCAAACAAAAAGTAAACCCAACTCTAGAGCACCATTTATGTCTTGCACTGTAAAGAGTGTTTCCTCCTTTAACTTATTTTGCAGCACAATGTGTTTAGCTCCTGCCACAAAGCGGAAGAAAATCTGACAAGCTGCATTAGTAACACTTTTAAAAGAGCAGCAAGTAAAAAGAAGTTAAAATAAGCTGTAGGCTTGGACAGGCTGTTTGACAATCGGAGAGGGAAGAAAGTGACAGATGAGTTAGTTCCAGTGCATTTTGATATTGTGATTTAAGTGTCCTGCTACTGTGCCAGTAACCACCTCTCCCCCACTGAGCAGAACCACCAGGACTGAACGTGGGCTATGTCTTAGTTCCCAGCTAAGTTTGCTAGCTTACACCCCCAATGAGAATAGATTTATGCCAGAAAACCAGAATTGCTGAGATACAGACTTGCATTCTAATCCCCCACCTATTTGCAGATTGGAGGTGTAATGCCTATAAGATGCTGCTGTTAACCAGGTGATCAGAAGTCAGGGCGAGCATGTTTAAGAGCTTTGCCCTGTCACTCCTAGGCCAGTTGCTTGCAGAATATAAGAGCCAGGACAGAGAGTTAATTTTGGATCTGACTCAGGTGAGGTTTCTTTTTTGAGTTTAAGGACAGGAACTAGAGATATATGCTGTTCAAATCCTTGGTCATTATACCAGAAGCTTGTTGTTCTGCATTTGGAGAGTTAAGCTTGAACTCAACACATTTTGAAATCCTCTTCTAAAGTAACAATTTAGTCCTAAGTTTTTTTTACCAGAGGGAGGCTCATTGCTTTGAGTAATAGTAGACTTTCTGGAAAATACTGGAGTAGCAGAAATGTCACACTAAGGTGAGCACAGCTTCAACACTTCTGTACCCATCAGTCAGTAGTAGAGATCCAGATGTGTACAGTGCTTTATAAGGACACTCTACCTCTTTACAGAGTTTTTTGCCACATTTGTCACCATTTGTTCCAATTGCCTCCCTACAGTGCTTTAAGGAACACAAATGAATTTGGCCATCTGCTGTGATTTCTTTCACCTCTCCCATAAGTTTAGTTTCTGCCTTTTGCTTTGATAGGGTTGTTTTATTGTTTTCCCTTGTTCTTTGAAGTGTATAAATGTTTATTTTTGCTTTGCTTTGAACAGAGGAGAGTTTCGTTAGCATGACAAAACACCCTTGGAAAGGAAGCATAGCTCCAGTTGTTCCCATAGCTAATATAGTTGTAGTTATGTTAGCCAATTAGACTAGCAGAATTAAAGTCACAGAAGCTCTAACAAAGGGCCTGCTGGAAAGCCTTCTGAAAGGCAATTTGTGCAGAGCAAATGCAGAGCAGTTACAGCCTGCTTTATTCTCATCAACCGTGCTGAAACAACCCAGATTCCTTTTCCTGAGTTCGCTTTCCATTGCACTTTGTTTTCATTCAGCTGCAATTGGGAAGCATGTGTCTGTCAGTAGATTTGCAGGATTAAACTACACCAGTTTCTCCTCTGTATATCATAGGAGAAAGTTATCTTTTCTGCCAACAGAATCGCAATTATTTTTTTCTTTCCAAAACAAAGCTTAGCTTCTACAGAAGCTGGCAGAGGGCTTATGGCCCTATGCCCATTCCAGGCAAAGCTCCTTACACTCCCTCCCAGGAACTCTTGAGTCCAAGTCTGTAACAGCAAATCTTCGTGGGTTCCACTATAATATATGAAGTTTTCTTAGTTCCTAACTGATGATGTTACGTCAACAAAAAAAACCTAAACTCTTGATTTGTGTACACATCCTGACATTGAGCTGTGTGTGTTGACTTAGTTTGAGCAGAGTGCTGCCTGTAATGGAAAAAACCTTTTAATATTAGTACACACCACAGCTAACAAGGGGTCTGTTGCAACAAATTTATTAGCACAGGTGTTCCTACTGTAACCAAGGTTTTTGTAGACAGACATTGTGGCCACAACAATCCCAAGGGAAGGAGAAAGAAAAAAAGGTGTTCATTTTTTTTCAAAAGCTACCCAAGGTGACTGTTGTTATGTCAGAGTTATGTATGTGAACCTGTTTCCCAAGAACAGTAGAAGTAGAACTTCCCCTGTTTAAGTATTTCTTTGGTACCTGGCAAACACATTAGGAGAAACAGGATGGATTAAATAAAAGGAAAGAAGTAACAATTAACAAAAAGACAGACATGCAGGGGAAAGAGAGGTAAGGATTGCAAATATTAAGGCAGTCAGGATTTCATAATTTAAAACTGGAAATTTGTCTCAGAGCAAATATTTTTATTTGTCTTCAGTGTAGAAAATAATACATGCAGTTTTGCTAGCACAATAAAGCTAGTAACATACAACATAGGGCAGTTGCATGTTATAACACTGGCCTTTACAAACCCATTTTATTATTGCATTGCATTTTATTACCAAAGTCACTTGCTTTCAGTGTCGGGGGTGCTGTAATTCCAGGTATCACCTTGTGGTTATACCTGCCAAGCAATTTTTCTTTTAATGTCAGCTATTTGCATGCAGCTCATGCATATCAGCCAGAAACTTCCAGTGGACTCTGGAATCCCTGCATTACCTCCCTTGCTCATCCAAAATCACTTGCTTTGAGGTCATCATTAAATATATTAAACTTCCTCCCTGTTCCCCTCCCCCAAATATAGTATTGATTGTTTAGCTGCAGTACTATGGTGTGGTAGTGTCTATAGATACTGTCTTTCCCTTTTTTCCTCTTAGATTTCTTTGAGATCCCTTGCCCATGCTAAAAATAGTCATACAAGGCTGAATATTTTATTTCGCCATCCCATAAAAAGAGATGGATGGCACCATCTGTTTCTCATTACCAAAAAGCAAAGGCTATACAGTGTTGGGATAGGAGGAGCTTAGAGCAATGGGCAGATGCTCCTCTGCTTTCTCAGTCCAGTTCCCCTCTATACATCACTGCCAATGAGGGAGAAAACAACCAGTTGGCATATTGTATCCCATTTAAACGTTGATGGAGTGCAGGCACCCTGGTGTGTTTTAAGTGCTGTATTAGTGGTCTTTATTTTACAGCTAAAAGATTGCACATATAAACAGAAGCTCATCCATAATTTATAGTATATAAAACAGCTAGGGATATAGGGAAAAGGAGGATTTCATTAAATACACATTATGATGCACCTCAGGGGAAGCAGAAATTTACTGGTTAAGCTAATTATAAGGTCCACAGTGTACTGACTGTTGTTTATTTTTTCTTCTTTATTTTTTTCCCCCATTTGATTTGTTTTAAACAGAAGGAAGGTTCTGCAAGGAGGAGGTTTTGCAGATGCTCAATACCTTGCTAGGCTTGTCTCAAAGAAGCACTTGAAGAAAATCTTTTTGAGGTGCATTCCTGTTTAGTAGTCATACAACACAGTGGGAGAGTGATTTCAGATGAGGGAGGCATAACATTGTAGGAAGTTGATACCAGCTGACATCAGTTACTACCTGTCAGTGACTCTGTCTCAGAAACATCATACTTATGTCTAATTAATAAATGTGTCACATCATAGGGAAGATGGAGCTTTTAGCTTTTATACATGAGCTGCCATTTGAAGTTTGCATGACATGTATTGCTGGGACCTACTTCCAATAAGGCAGGTGTGCATTCATCCAGAAGCCCCTCAGCTGGATCTGATGGATTATTTGGTATCTTGTTTCCTTCCAAAAGAAGCCAGCTGCAGCACCATCTTCTCTGCACAGAATAGGAAAGAACAGTACATTTTGAGTGCTCTAAAAAAAGAGTCTTTTTTATTAATATTTATTATTTGAAAATCCAACTTTCTCTAAGTACTTTCCAGATTGCAGATAACACTGACATCTGCTGACTTCACAGATGACATTGTAATATTGTAATCTCACTGCAAAAGTGATCTGGATTTCAGATTAAGACAGCCCTGCCTGTAGTAATCTGATTGATTTCCCTCCTTCCACTGCTGCAGAGAGATAGGATACAACTACTTTTGCTGTTCTGATTCAGCAACTGCTAGTAGTTTTTAAGGCTCAGGTCTCTAAATAATCAGTGCAAGGCTAAACACAACAGTGCTGTCCTTTTAAAGTTGTTTGTATAGTTTGAGTTTGTACTTCATCTCGAGATGTATCTCTAGCATAAGATTACTGATTTTTGGTTTCATAATACTACCCATACACTTGACAAACATTCAAGAAGACAATTTTGGATGCTAGGTACATGATCAAGCCCATGCAGGCCTATGTTTAGCTGCACTACACTTACTCTCAAAAAAGATAGGTATGAAGGCAGTATTAAGGGAGTAGGAGAGAGGACAGAGATGGGTGGTCATTCTATAATGTTATTTTCCAAGTAATTTAAATCATATGTTGTTCTCCCAGCTTTATTCCTGGGTATCTCAGAATTTTCAGGTCTAACTTAAAACCAGACCTAGGCTTCCTGACAAGTCTTACTTTATTTTTAGATTAAAGCAGGGTGTATATTGTCACAGCAAGAAGCAAATAAACACAGAACACTTAAGATTTCCTCTGTCAGTTGGTTGTTTGAGTAGGAGATATAGCAATTCTCTCTGATGGGCGCGTGCTGTGCTGACCACAACTTT